TATGGGTGTTAAACTTGGTCTCTGTCATTAAGGGAGGAACATAGACTGAGGGTGTTTGAGAACAGGATGTTGGAGAAAACTGCACAGTAAGGAGCTTCATAACGTGTACTCTTCTCCAAATGTACTTAGAATGATCAAGCCAAGGAGAATGAGGTGAGAAGGTCATGTAGTGCGAATGGGGAAGACTAGGAATGAGTATAGGATATTGGTGGGAAAGCCAGAAGGAAAGAGACCACAGGGAAGACCAAGATGTAGGTGGGTGGACAATATTAGAATGGATCTTAGAGAGATAGGATGGGATGTTATGGATTGGATTGATCTGGCTCAGGATAGGGACCAGTGGAGGGCTCTTATGAACACGGTAATGAACCTTCGGCTTCCATAAAATGCTAGGAAATTCTTGAGTAGCTGCAGAATTGGCGGCTTCTCCAGAAGGGCTCAGCTCCATGAGTAAGTAAGTATACATTGTTACATGTACACCCATTGTTAGGCAACGAGAGGTAAACAAGTTACGGCGTAGACAAACTCTTGATAAACAGTTCGCTGTGGCCAATTCATACCATCCCATCCTATCGCTCTAAAATCCATTTTAATATTGTTCACCCACCTACGCCTTTGTCTTCCCACTGGTCTCTTTCCTTCTGGCTTTCCCACTAATATCCGATATGCATTCCTCTTCTCCCCATTCGTGCTACATGCCCTTCCCACCTCATCCTCCTTGACTTTATCATTCTAATTATACTTTGAGAAGAGTACAAGTTATGAAGCAACAATATATATATATATATACACTCGTATATGGGACTTAATCTGAGATATACTCTTTTCTGTATTACTAAATGCTGTTCCCTTATCACGTAAGAAGCCTTCATATAGACCGAGATGCATATTTCGTGCAAAGGGCTGTACGAGTGATGGCCTGACAGCTGTCCTAGTGTAGTGTTTAGCTTTGGTTGGTCTGAAGAGATCTTTTGGACTGCGATTGTTGGTACCTTCTCTACCGTACATGGATCCCACCCTGTTGAGGATTAGCCACGTAGAGAAGAAATAGTAATAAAAAAAGAAAGAAAGACTTGAGAAAACCCAGCTGATGGCATCAGAGAGTGCTCCTCAAGTATTTACCTGATGTCGGGGTAACGGAGTCCTCCCCAGGTCTCATCACTTACGATTCTGTTTGATGGCATTTCTTTTTTTTTTGTAAAAAAAAAAATTCTTTCCCTCCGCTCATACAATGACATGACGTCATGCTCGTCTGAGGGATGTCCAGAGTGGGCAAATCGTTGCATGGCACGTTGCTTTGTACGGACACGTACGTCCGTAGAGGTTTGCTGCAGACGGAAACTCGTAACGGGAAGAGGACACCACTGAGTCATGCCATCGTCACCTCTGTCGTTGTTGCCAACGTGTGACTAAACCTTGTTTGTAATGCCTTTAGCAATACGTCACACCCTAAGTACGCAGACTTAAGAAAGAAGTCCTGTGTATTCAGGGAGACCTCCGGGAAGTCGGTACCGGTTCCATCGTATATAGGAGAAAGAGCCGGGGTAGCTCAGTCAATATACGGGCGGCTATCGACTTAACGGTCGAGAAATAAGGTACGATCCGTGCCAGCGTAAAAAGATTCGTCTCTTCTCCAAACTGTCCCGACCGCCTCTGGAGCCCACCCACTGCTGCCTATTCAATGTGTAAGGTAAGGTAAAGCTGCCCCTGTGCTTTGCTAATTAGGCACTATGCCATGAAGACGTATGGGGGGAGTGGGTGTATAGATCAACTTTTTCTTCATTTCGGCACTAGTTGTAGGTGAGTGGTCAGTTTCACGCCCCAGCCTCTTTACCCCCGGTGCTTATTGGATAGGAAAAAATTCTTGACCCTGTTGAGACTCGAACTCCGAGCCCTCCGTCGATCAGCCTGTAGCCAGTCGCTATACCGGCTCTTCCTATTCTTTGCGTATCGGCAATAATGTGGCCAGACCGTGAAGCTGACCACTCACTTCCGGCTAGTTCCGAGGTGAAGAATTGTGCTGACATACCTCCACTTCCTCACACGTCTTCATAGCGCAGGACTTAATTAATTGAATGTGGGGATAAGTTTGCCTTTGCTCTTGTCGTATGCTGAGAAGGAAACCTAAGAACATAATGATGACGTAATGAACTACGTCACTGTTTTATGATTTCCTACTCTAAAAATGTTTTAGAAGCTTAGTAGATGACAGTGAGCCGGGATAGCGTAGTCAGTATAGCGACTGGCTACGGGCTGGACGTGAGGAGCCGGGATAGCGCAGTCAGTATAGCGACTGGCTCCGGCTGGACGTGAGGAGCCGGGATAGCGCAGTCAGTATAGCGACTGGCTACGGGCTGGACGTGAGGAGCCGGGATAGCGCAGTCAGTATAGCGACTGGCTACGGGCTGGACGTGAGGAGCCGGGATAGCGCAGTCAGTATAGCGACTGGCTACGGGCTGGACGTGAGGAGCCGGGATAGCGCAGTCAGTATAGCGACTGGCTACGGGCTGGACGTGAGGAGCCGGGATAGCGCAGTCAGTATAGCGACTGGCTACGGGCTGGACGTGAGGAGCCGGGATAGCGCAGTCAGTATAGCGACTGGCTACGGGCTGGACGTGAGGAGCCGGGATAGCGCAGTCAGTATAGCGACTGGCTACGGGCTGGACGTGAGGAGCCGGGATAGCGCAGTCAGTATAGCGACTGGCTACGGGCTGGACGTGAGGAGCCGGGATAGCGCAGTCAGTATAGCGACTGGCTACGGGCTGGACGTGAGGAGCCGGGATAGCGCAGTCAGTATAGCGACTGGCTACGGGCTGGACGTGAGGAGCCGGGATAGCGCAGTCAGTATAGCGACTGGCTACGGGCTGGACGTGAGGAGCCGGGATAGCGCAGTCGGTATAGCGACTGGCTACGGACTGTACGTGAGGAGCCGGGATAGCGCAGTCGGTATAGCGACTGGCTACGGACTGTACGTGAGGAGCCGGGATAGCGCAGTCAGTATAGCGACTGGCTACGGACTGTACGTGAGGAGCCGGGATAGCGCAGTCAGTATAGCGACTGGGTACGGGCTGGACGTGAGGAGCCGGGATAGCGCAGTCAGTATAGCGACTGCCTACTGGCTGGCCGGTCGGCCGAGTTTGAGTCCCAGTAGAGGCAAGAATTTTAATTTCTCCATGTCGTCCTCTGGGGTCCTCCACCCAGCATACTATCGAATGGGTAGTAGGGGCCCTTTACCCGAGGATAAAGCGGCCGGGGCGTGAAACTGACCACTCACCTCCAGCTGGTGCCGAGATCAAGAAAGCGTGTATATATATATCCTCTTCCCCATACGCCTTCAAGGTGTAGTGCTTAATTAATTAAGTACAGGGACAACTTTACCTTAACTTAGCAGATGACAGTTGTATCACAGAGGAATATTAGGAAGTGACATTTCGTTAGGTTTCGTGTTATTTATTTCTTATGGAGTGGCAAATTTAATTCATCTTTTGATACTGAGGAAGTGTTTCAAATGGCTCTTTGTAGCAGGAGCACGCGGTAGCGTAGTTGGTTGAGGCACTATGCTACAAGCCGGAAGGTCGCGGGTTCAAGTCCCGATAAGATCATTGGGTTTTTTCAGTTGACCTAATCCTTCCAACCGCACTATGGCCCTGGGGTCGACTCAGCCTCTAACAGAAATGAGTACCAGGAATATTCTTGGAATGTACTTGGGAGTAAAGGACGGCCGGCGCTTAGGTCTGACAACTTTGCCGCCATCTATGAGCCGATTATCTAGAAAATGTGGGAACCTCAACGTCTCACAACCCTATGGGCATCCACGACCTGTTACAGGAATAGCTTTACTTTTTATGTTTAAACACACGATTAAGAATCTTCAACATTTAATAGAAGTAAACACCGCGCTGTTCTATCCTCATTTCAAATTATTGCTTTCGTGCGGACCGTTCTTTGCTCTTCTACTGCCTTGCATGATGCCCGAATTTTACTGGTTCTGATTTCTTCTGCTTCCCCTTTAGGCAGTATTCCTCTGTTTCTGCGGGCGAGAACTCAGCCGGAAGAGTTGGCCTCTCCTCCCGTCAATCTGGACCGACCCACAACACACAAGTTCGCTTCACGGCTTCGATGTATAAAGAATCCGCCATATTCTAACAGTTTCCTTATCTTTGCCTGGCCCTATCCGTCTGATATGTAACTGCGATCTAAACAAAAGCATGATGGTTAATGTCATCTTCGGAAGGGTGCAGGATGATCGTTCATATCATCAAGAAATATATTAAAACTTGATGTAATATTGTTGAATTTGGTATTGAAGAATGTTAACTGATAGAATATGACACCGTATAGCCTTGTGAAAGTCAACCGATATAGAACTGTGCGCTGAAGATGAATGTCATATGTTCCTACGAAACAACTCTTGGTTTATACCGGACTAAACGGGTTTATATCCCAGAAAATAGAACGCTTGACGTACCATGATCAGCTTCATAAAATCAAGCAGAAAGAAATGGCTGCAAATGTAGCATACATGAGAGAAGTCAAGAAATACGCAAAACAGTTTGTCGGATAACTTCAAAAAACTGAGCAAGGGACTTATGTGTAAGTGAAAATATAATGTTGGAAATGGAGCTTAGAAGAATTGATCTTGAAGTTATAGACTATATTTGTTGGCTCAAGAAACTGTTTATGCCAGATATTTATAAAAGCGATAATGAAGTTTGAAGCATGAACGCGTAACCGGCTGAGAAACATAAGCTTTTCGAGGGAAATTCTGTGCTCTATAGACGAAAATTGAATTGATTCATCACACGGAAGTACATGTATTCCATTTAATAAATTTAATGCGTTAGAGACACGATGACATCCATACTTTTAAATTTTACCCTTCTTGTTTTTTTTTTTTTTCCTGGGTAAAGACACGAAGGTTCCCTATTTCAGGCTTCTCTACTCCCCGATACTACTATCTGTGCCAGGATCAAGCACTATATTTCTCTTTCTTTCTTCAGGTACCCTCCTCCAATTCCTATTCTTCCCTCGGAGTGAGAGGTCAACCTGCATGCAAGGACAACAACGGCTGACTTCAGTTCTCTGTGGGTGAGTGTACGACAAATCATATTTCTTAAAGCGGAAGATACCGTCACTGGCAATAGGCTTACCTGTTTAGTAACGCACAAACAATGATTTATCCAATTATAATAATTTAACTGAATAGACGTTCATGTAAATTAAATTGATATAGAGTATGGAGGGCGTGCAATGAACTATAGGACTCCTTCCACTTTTTAAGGTACCATGTTGCCTGTGTAGCACCCCTTTCTGCTATGGAACTAATATTCTGATTTTCATCATATTAGTCCACCCCAGAGTCATACCTGCTAATTTTCTGCAGGACCTGAAGGACATATTAAATTATGAGGTTGAAGCTGTTAAATATAAGGCTGTAAAATGACGTAGGGCAACGGCGATTTGTAACCTGTACAGTACAGTGGTTCGCTTTCCCTGTAGGTCAGCGATTTTCAACCGGTGTGCCGCGAGGTGTCCGCAGGCGTGCCGCGGCACACTGGTGTGACGTGAAGAGTTCGTAGGTGTGCCGCCGGAGTTTGAGTGAAGGTCGAAAAAAATGGGGGGAAGGGAATTGAGGAATAAAGAAATCTTAGAAATTAATACTCAACATTATTTTTAAAAATAGAGCAATGATTAGAATTTTAGCCATTGAACTTGTAAACACAATCTTATTGCTCATTTTTTTAATGATAAAATCTCTTCCTAAAAATTGTTAATGTGCTTTGACAATTTTAGCGTCTTCTTCGGTGTCCCGCAAAGGGTAGAAAAACTACTGTAGAATATAAAACAAATATGCAGCCGTTCAGAACATTAATTTAGCTTTGAGCATGACAGTGATTACTAATGGTCTATTTTAGTCAGGAAATTAAACATTGCCTTGAGATGGGCTATAAATATTCTTGAAAATTACTATGTATGAAATATTATTTGGAGGTCAATAGTTAAGAAAATTTTGCGACGGTGTGAACCTTTACGCTAATCCCCACAAACGTAACACAGAGAGAATCTGAACTTAAAATCTCTATATTAATGATGATGATAAAAGTAAAGCTATTATTATCCTTAATTAAGCACCACGTCGTGAAGTGGTATGGGGAGTGGATACCACGAAATCTTAACTTCAGCACTAGATGAAAGTGAATTAATAATAATAATAATAATAATAATAATAATAATAATAAT